CTGTTCTTGGTTGTACTTACACTAAATTTTAGCAGTATTAAAATGCACTTCATGTTTTGTAGCATTTTAGGTTGGGCTGGGGTGTTACATAAATCTCTATATGTCAAAATGATCCCAAGCATTGTGTTCAAGACACCATGCTAGACACTGGGAGACGGAGAGGCATAGGACACACCCCTGCCCTTAAGGAGGCCACAGTCCTGTTGGGGAAACAAACCCACGATGATTATGAACCAAGCAGTGGAGTGAGTGCTATGGCAAAGTGATAAATAAAGGGCTTAAGGAGCTTGGAAGAAGAGTGATTAATTTTGCATGGATGCAGAATAGGGGGAAGGGGCAAGGTGTAGAAGTCTTCACAAAAGGGCTGGCGTCTAAGCTAACCTCTTAAAGGGTGAATAGGGTTTTGATAGGCAAGAACACATGTCAGAATATTCTAGGAAGCAGAAAGAGCATGAGCATAGGATTTGGGGACTAGGGATAAGGGTTAATTCCAGGCATAACTGGTAAATTCTCTGTATGGTGCTTGAGGGATGGTAGCAGAGGGTGAGGTGTGGCCAGACCACCCAGGCTCATAAATTTCATGTTAAGGAATGTGGATTTTATTCTTTAGTAGAGATTGAATTGCAAAAAATTTGTTACCAAACTCGTTGTCATCAAGTCAATTTCGACTCATAGTGACCCTATAGGACAGAGTAGAACTGCCCCATAGAGTTTCCAAGGAGTGACTGGTGGATTCGAACTGCCGACCTTTTGGTTAGTAGCCATAGCTCTTAACTACTGCACCACCAGGGCAAGGATGGAAAAACCACCCCCAAAACCCAGAAAATGAGTTAGGATCCTATAGAAAATAAATAATCCCAGGAAGATGTATCAAGCTCATGAACTAGAGCAATGGCAGTGAGAAAGGAGAGGACAGATCTGAAAGACATGGTAGAGGGAGAAGTTAATGGTCTGAGGGACTGATTAGATGTAGAGGTTGAGCAGAAGAGGAGCGTATGATTCTTAGGTTTCATGTTTGGGTGCCTGAACAGACTGGGTGGACAACACGGGATGAGCAGTTTTGTAGGAGAATTTGTCTTAAGATAAGGACATGTGTGGATGTGTAGTAGAAGATACAGGTAGAAATTTCCTGTAGAGTTAAAATGCAGAAATATTTTGGAGCTAGAAATGTAGGTCTCAGAATCATCTCTGTCTATGAAGATGAACATTGAAAGAGTGAGAAATGAGATCACCCATACAGAGTAAGATAAAAAAGAAACCTAGTAGACCATCTTCCTTTAAGTAGTGCTATCTCTTTGTCACTTGATCAATATAGCATTTTCCTATTTATCTAATTTTTCAAATTTGAATTTTAATGCACATATACATAAATCTAAGAATAGAACTCTAAGGAGGTTTCTATATCAGAACTAATAGCATAATAAAACTAATAAATAGCATTTATATTTCACTCTGCAATTTACAAAACCCCTTCATTTAACACAGGGACAAAGAATTATTAGGGGCCTTGGTGAAAAACATTTTAAGGAATGCCTTACAGTCTCCTTTGTGAAACATCAGATCCCCAAATTTTGCGTGTGTTTCCTGCATTTCTTGCTAGCTCTGCATGTAGATTTATTTAATCCTCAAGACATTCCAGAGAAGCAGGCTGTGATCCGTACTTTACAGGTAAGAAAATCGGAGAGGGTGATGGATTTTATTGCAAGTAGCATCTCTGTATGTGTATTATATATATTTAAAAAAAAAAAAATCGTTATCATCAAGTGGATTCCAACTCATAGGACAGAGGAGAACTGCCCCATAGGGTTTCCAAGGAGCGGCTGGTGGATTTGAACTGCCAACATTTTGATTAGCAGCCATAGCTCTTAACCACTGTGCCACCAGGGCTCCATATTCTGTAAAGTAAGACATGAATTAACACAGACTTTAATAATAAAATTATCTGATATGTATTAATTATCTATTTACCAATCACCCCAAAACTTAGCAGCCTGAAACTACACACACACAGTTTCTGTGAGGAACTCAGGAGCAGCTAACTGGATGGTTCTGGCTCAGGGTCTCCCATGAGGTTTCAGTGAAGTTGTTGGCCAGAGCTGCAGTCATCTGAAGACTTGACTGGGGCTGGTGAATGGTCACTCACATGCCTGGCAAGTTGATACTGGCTGCTGGCTGCTATCAGAGGCCTCAGGTCCTCATTGTCTATTGGCAGGAGGCCTCAGATCCCTCCCATATGAACCTCTCCATAGAACTGTTTGAGTGTCTTCACAACCTGTTAGCTGGCTTCCCCCACAGGGCGTGAACCAAGAGAGAGGAAGATGGAAGTTGCAGTGATTTTAAAGCCCAACATCAGAAGTCACAATCCATCATTTCTGCAATATCCCATTGATTACACAAGTCAAGCCAATTCAGTGTGGGAACGTCTACACAGAACTTGAAAATCAGGAGGTGAGAAGGTGGGGATCATTGAGCTCACCTTGGAGACTGACTACCACATCGTATTATGTGGATCTCTAATATATTCATTTTCAACTTTCGAGATTTATGTGTCATTCTAATGTAAGTTAAAGATTCACCAAAGAGGTTTTTGTCTTTAAATATTTTATAATTCAAGCCTTGAATAACATTTTAAAAAATTCCCCAGAAATGTTTGAGGCCATGAGCATTCATAAATGTGTAATCAAATAGTAAACAGAGGCTTGAGCAGCAGGAAACTTAAATGAGGAGGGACCTCATCACACTTGCTAATGAATGAGGCCTTTAAATGAACTATTCATGCCATTTATCTGTTTGAATCATTGAAATAAATTGCATCAAATATGTCCCCTGGAAATCATCCCAGAGAATCTGCCATTAATCAAGGTGCCAGTTAAAAGAATTCCACACTTTTTGTAGCTGCATAAAAGGAAGAGTGTACATTTTCCACCTTGTATTTTAGGATTTTAAAAGACATGAAGCGCTGGTAGAAAAGCTTAGGTAAAGTTTACCTGGACTTCCATGTGTTACATAAACTCTCAGTGATTAGCTCCCATTTGTATAATGTTGGTGAGTGATAAGAAAGTGATGACTGGGAAGGTGGCCCTCATTTACCTATCACAGAACGAAGGCTTACACCTCAGCAGTGGAGTTTACACACACCATTGCCCTGGTGCACTAGTTTCTTACTCTAAACCTGTAAATATGCTTAAGTGACCTATAAAAACCCAACCCGTTACTGTCGAGTTAATTCTGACTCAGGGTGACCTCGTGTGTTACAGGGCAGAACTGGTCCATAGAGTTTTCTTGGCCATAATCTTTACAGAAGCAGATTTCAGACCTTTCTTCTGTGGTGCCACTGGGTGGGTTCAAACCACCAGCCATTAGGTTAGTAGGCTAGTGCAAACTCTTTACACAACCCAAACCTTAAGCTTTCCATAGCTTAGCAGAAATCTAGGTTTTGTCTCTGCTCAGGTTATTTCCCCGTCTTGCTCATTTGTATGCTGCCAGATTTCATGAACAAATAGCCATATCCTCAGCTTCATCTTCCACATCACCCCCCTACTTTTCAGGTACTCAAACACTCTTCTGTTCCTTACTGCCTTTTTGCTAAAACTACTCTTTCACAGTCTAGCAATAACCACATACACTCGGCAGCCTCTTGTGCTATTCGTTCCCCATACATCTTAAAGCTTTATTTGTGGTACATGACCCTGTACTCTATTCATCTCCCTAGATCTCTGCTTTTTTTTTTTTTTTTCCTCCCTGTCTTTCCATCGTGCTACATCACAAAACCAAAGTAGTGATTTTGTTTTCTTGGTTATTGTCCTCAGCCCAATGCTCTGCACAATCTGCCTTTATATTCCCATCTACTCCCTCAGATTCAACCGTCTTCTGAAAATGGCTATTTCCTGTGTGTGTAAGATCAGTTCTGATCTTTCTCAAGCTCCGTGTCCCCATAGCACTTCACATGCAGCAAGTCTAAAACTTAACTTGTGATGTCCATGCGTCCATCACATTTTATCATTGCACCACCATAGTCAGTCACCTAGGTAACCATTCATCTTGACCTCTCCTTCTCCTGTGGACCTCACATTTTGTAAATCCCTGGACCCTATCATTTCTGCCTCTCCACTGTTTCTTGCGTTTACAGCAATGTATAAAAAAAATTGACATAGCGTTTATGAAAATACCTTGTGAGAGGAGGGCACAGTTGACAAACAGATGTAGAAGGTGTGCATTATTTGTCTGAAAAATACAGTATTACTTTCCTCCTCTCCATTCCCACTGTGACCTAGTCCATCCTATCATTACCTCCTGCCTAACCTCTATGGCAGTCCTCTTCCTACACACAACTGTACTACTAGTGTTCAGGTTCCTAAAATAAACTCTAAACTTGACTCTTCTTTCTCAAATAACATTGTCCTACTTAGCCCATACTATCTCCTTTGCCAAGAATCAATCCTTCCCTCAGTATCCCATGTATCCCATGTTTCCAATCCCCCATATCCTGTGTATCCCCCAAAGTCCAAATCAAATACTGCTTTCTCCAAAACTTAAGGACAACACTTTTATTCTTGCAATGATCTCTTAATTCTCTTGTATCTTTAAGCATTCTTGTTTTGAGAGGCACATCTCATTCATGTCATATTGTTATCTGTCCTTTCCATCTTCCCAGGTTGGTTATAAGAAGCCATGGTCTTTTATTCAGTTGTCTCTCTCCACAGTGATTTCTATGGGGATTTGCACCTTGTAGGTTTATTGTTGAATAAATGACTTTTACTAACACGATTTTAAAAACCCGACAGCGTCTTTAATGCGTGCTTATTTATTTTTGACTTTCATAAATTGGTTTAAGAGGATTTTTCATCCTTGTCAGCTATGTCCAATCATCTCTAGAAGCATGTTGGACATGACTGAAGTAGTGCTAGTGTTTGGAAACTTCTGTAAACTGGGCTTTCATCTTAGTTATATCATATTCTCACAGCCTCACACTTAAGCTGATCTGCTACTTCTCATTTCAGGGAGAGCAGAGAAGAAGAGAGAAGAAAAAGCACCTTTAGGTAAGATTTTGTCCAGCTTTATTTCCTGCTTTCATTTCTACCTTTAGGAAAATTGATTTGCAATTTAGTATTCAAAAACTCACATACAAAAATAATGGTTTATGGTCCTCAAAGTGATCAATGTTAAATTAATTAAAATGAATTAATACATTTAGCTTTTTCACTCTCACGTCTCTCAATTATGCCTTTTTCATTGTTTTTTAATTCAAAAGAAAATGAGATGGAATGTTGTTAATTTTTCATGATTGTTGATTTAAAGGTAAATCTCGCAACCCCCAGATTTAAAATATGGAAGTTTTAATAGTAAAGGTTAATCTTGCAACCACTAATTTTAAAATGTGGAATTTATAAGCAACCAGTTTATTTTCCCAAACGTCTATGACTCTTAATTATTGTTCTTAATAGTATTTATGTAATTCATGTCGCTCAGCATTGTTGACTCTTAATTGATGAGAATATGTACAGTTTGTCGGAATTTTAAGAATATTTCCATTTCTAAATGCTGTATGTATGCAGAAGTGAATGGTGCTTTGGCACAGTGCTATCACACTTTGTTTTTGTTGTTGTGCACCATCAAGTTGATGCCAACTCGCAGTGACCCCATCTGACATAAAACTGCCCCATAGGATTTTCTAGGCTGCTAACCAAAAGGTTGGAAGTTCAAATCCACCAGCTGCTCCTTAGAAACCCCATGGAGCAATTCTACTCTGTCCTATATGGTCGCTATGAGTTGGAATCAACTTGATGGCAGTGGGTTTGGTTTGGTTTAGAATATTTATGGGAGATGGCCGGTTCTTTTCTTCTGCAGAACCACCAGTGGGTTTGAACCACTGACCTTTCAGTTAGCAGCCGAGCTCTTAACACTGCACCACCAGGGTTCCTTGCCATGACACATAGTGTTGTTGTTGTTGTTGATTGGTGCCATGGAATCAGTTCCCTCTCATAGGTTTCCTAGGTACAACAGAAGGAAACACTGCCAGGTCCTGAGCCATTCTCGTGGTCATTATTATGCTTGAGTCCATTATTGCAGCCACTGTGTCAATCCATCTGGTTGAGGGTCTTCCTCTTTTTCACAGACCCTCTACTTTACCAAGCATGATGTCCTTCTCCAGGGGACGGGTCCCTCCTGAGAACATGTCCAAAGTATGTGAGACAAAGTCTCGCCATCCTCACTTCTAAGGAGCATTCTGGCTGCACTTCTTCCAAGATAGGTTTGTTCATTCTTTTGGCAGTCCATGGTGTAATCAATATTCTTTGCCAACACCATAATTCATCTTCCTCTGTCTTCCTTGTTCATTGCCCACCTTTTGTATGCATATGAGACGATTGAAACCACCGTGGCTTGGGTCAGGCACACCTTAGTCCTTAAAGTGACATCTTTGCTTTTGAACACTTTAAAGAGGTCTTTTGCAGCAGGTTTGCCCAGTGCTATGCTTCATTTGATTTCTTGACTGCTGTTTCCATGGGTATTGATTGTGGATTCAAGTAAAATGAAACCATTGTCAACTTCAATCTCTTCTCTGTTTATCATGATGTTGCTTATCGGTCCATTTGTGAGGATTTTTGTTTTCTTTATGTTGAGGTGTAATCCATACTGAAGGATGTAGTCTTTGATCTTCATCAGTAAGTGCTTCAAGTCCTCTTCACTTTCAGCATGTGTCACCTGCATAACGCGGCTTGTTAATGAGTGTTCCTCTAATCCTGATGTCCTGTTCTTCTTCATACAGTCCAGAGTCTCAGATTATTTGCTCAGCATACAGATTGAATAAGTATGGTGACAGAATACAGCCCTGACACACACCTTTCCTAACTTTAAACCATGCAGTATCCCCTTGTTCTGTTCCAACGACTGCCTCTTAGTCTATGTACAGGTTCCTCATGAGCTCAATTAAGTGTTGTGGAATTCCCATTCTTGCAATGTTATCCATAATTTGTTATAATCCACACAGTTGAATGCTTCCAAATAGTCAATAAAACACAGGTTAACATCTTTCTCGTGTTCTCTGCTTTCAGCCGAGCTCCATCTGACATCAGCAATGATATCCTTGTTCCATGTCCTCTTCTGAATCCAGCTTGAATTTTTGGCAGTTCCCTGTCAGTGTTCTGCTGCAACTGCTTTTGAGTGATCTTCAGCAAACTTTTACTTGTGTGTGGTATTAATGATATTGTTCGATAATTTCCACATTCTCTTGGATCACCTTTCTTTGGAATAGGCATAAATATGGATCTCTTCCAATTGATTGGCCAGGTAGCTGCCTTCCACATTTCTTGGCATAAACGAGTGAGCACTTCCAGTGCTGCATGCATTTGTTGAAACATCTTAACTGGTATTCCATCAACTCCTGGAACCTTGTTTTTTGCCAGTGTCTTCAGTGCAGCTTGGACTTCTTCCTTCGTTACCGTCAGTTCTTGATCATATGCTACCTCCTGAAATGACTGAACATCAACCAACTCTTTTTGGTACAGTGACTCTGTATTCCTTCCATCTTCTTTTGATGCTTCCTGTGTTGTCCAGTATTTTGCCCTTAGAATCCTTCAACACTGCAATTAGAGGCTTGAGTTTTTTCTTCAGTTCTTTCTGCTTGAGAAATGCCAAACATGTTCTTCCTTTTTGGTTTTCTGACTCAGGTCTTTACACATGTCATTATAATACGTTACTTTGTCTCCTTGAGCCGCCCTTTAAAATGTTCTGTTCAGCTCTTTTACTTCATCATTTCCTCCATTTGCTTTATCTACTCAATGTTCAAGAGCAAACTTTAGAGTCTCTTCTGACATCCATTTTGGTCTTTTTTTATTCTTTCCTGTATTTTTAATGATCTCTTGCTCTCTTCATGTATGATGTTTTTGATGGCATTCCACAACTCACTAGTGGTCTGGTCTTGGGTCATTAGTGTTCAGTGTGTCAAATCTATTCTTGAGATGGTCTCTAAATTCAAGTGGGATATACTCAAGGTTGTATTTTGGCTCTCATGGACTTTTTCTAATTTTCTTCAGCTTCAACTTGTACTTGCATATGAGCAATTCATGGTCTGTTCTGCAATTTGCCCCTGACCTTGTTCTGACTGATGATATTGAACTTTTCTGTCATCTCTTTCCACAGATGTAGTCAATCTGATTCCTGTGTATTCCATCCAGCGAGGTCCACATGTTTAGTTCCTGTTTATGTTATTGAAAAAAACGCATTTGCAATAAAGAAGTCATTGGTCTTGCAAAATTCTGTCATGTGATCTCCAGCATCATTTCTATTACCAAGGCCATATTTTCCAACTACCAATCCTTCTTCTTTGTTTCCAACTTTCGCGTTCCATAATCACGAGTAATTATCAATGAATTCTGATTGCATGTTCAATCAATTTCAGACTGCAGAAGTTGGTAAAAAAAAAAAAAAGTGTTCAGTTTCTTCATCTTTGGCCTTAGCGGTTGGTGTGTAAATTTGAATGATAGTCATATTAACCTGTCATCCTTGTAGGCACATGGATATTATCCTATCATTGACAGCGTTGTACTTCAGGATAGATCTTGATATGTTCTTTTTGATGATGAATGCAATGCCATTCCTCTTCAATTTGTAATTTCTGGCATAGAAGACCATATGATTGTCCGATTCAAAATGGCTAATATCAGTCCATTTCAGCTCACTAATGCCTAGGATATTGATGTTTATGTGTTCCATTTCATTTTTGATGATTTCCAATCTTCCTAGATTCAGACTTCATACATTCCACGTTCTGACTATTAATGGATGTTTGCATGTAGCTGTTTCTTCTCATTTTGAGTCATGTCACATCAGCACATGAAGGTCCCAAAAGCTTGACTCCATTCACGTCATTAAATTCGGACTCTACTTTGAGGAGGCAGCTCTTCCTAGTCTTTTAAGTGCCTTCCAATCTGTGGGGTTCTTCTTCCAGCACTATATCAGACAATGTCCTGCTGCTATTCATAAGGTTATGTGTGAAAACCTTAGAACACGTAGTAGGGGTCAATATTTACTAGCTAATATATAAATAATATTTTCTATTTCCATATTTTCATAACCTAGGTTTTGGCTTAAAAAGTCCTAAGGTTAGACAAATTTCACTTACAAGTAAATCTCTGCATAGGAGCAGTCTTCCAGCACACAATGCCTAAAAAATTGTCATTCATCATAGAGAATTCTTATGTGGCATATATACCTATGCCCACCACGCTTCCCAAGTCACCACTGACCCACTGTTCCTCTTATATTTGAGAGCCACCAGTGTAACAACATATCACTCCCAACCACTCTCCTCTTTCAACTTCATTTTTTGTCTGGTGAACAATGTGTTATGTGTGTTTCTAAACAGTGTAGTCAACAAAGGACAAGAATCTATATCAATCAAAAATTGTATAAACAGCTTAAGCCCCTGGCCTCTGTCTCTTTTCCCCTTTACAACCTTAGCATTCATCTCAGACTAGTGGGCAATTTAGTGCTTGCACAACTAACCTATTAAATGTTATTGTTTGCATCCTTTTTGTGAAAATTTACAGCCTGATAATGACTACAAAATATATATAGGGGTGAGTGTGTGTGTGTGTGTGTGTGTGTGTGCGTGTGTGCGTGTGCGTGTGTGTGTATGTATATATAGTGATGGCAAAAAGTGTCCGATCTCACAGATATGATTCCTTCCATTACTGCTTCTTGGGGAGAAATTATTAGAACTGTTTCTAAAATGCTATTGCTTTGATCCTGTAGATACTAGCTTGCTTAATTGCAGAAACTTTATAGTTTGAAAGAAAGCTAAATTGGTCTAAGTGTTAAACCAGAAGTCCCTTTAAGTTCACTCCATACTCATGAATTCTTAAATTCTATGAGACCAGGTGACAGAGGCAGTGCAAGAACTCAGGTTTCTTCACTCTCTGCCCAGTTCTTTCCAGCAGTACATCATCCCTACCCCTTTTCTTTCTTTTTTTTTCTAAAAAGTGCTGGTCACGTTGACACTAAGTTCAGTTTCTCATTTAACAAAAGACTTTTCAACAAT